TCCGCCCGCGCCTTCCCGCCCGCCCGCCGCGCGTGCGCGGGAGGCGGTGCCGCGCCCCGGAGGGGAGGAGGGAGGAGGAGGGAGGGGGCGTGGCCTCAGCGCTGATTGGTGGGGGAGGGCGGGGGGCGGGGCCGCGGTGGGGAGAGGCGCCACGCGATCGCGCGTCAGCGCGGGGCGCGCGCGGGGGGGCGGGGCGAACCTTAAAGGGGCAGCAGCCGGCTGGGACCGCGCCCGGCACCGGCCGCGGGGAACCGGGAGAGAGCCGGGAATGTGTGGGGATAAATCCCTGTCTGGGCATGGTGGGTCTGCACTGTGAGGGTGGTGAGACCCTGCACAGGGTACCCAGAGAAGCTGTGGCTGCCCCTGGATCCCTGGAAGTGTTCCGGGCCAGCTTGGATGGGGCTTGGAGCGACCTGGGCTAGTGGAAGGTGTCCCTGCCCATGGCAGGGGGTGGCACTGGATGATCCTTTTGGTGCCTTTCAACCACTCTGCGATTCTGTGATGCATCATCGGGTTTACAACTCCGTGTTCTCTCGGGACACTCCCTGTAATTCCAGTCAGTGAAACTCCAGCCCTGGACAACCCCTCTGGAAGCGCAGCGCTCGCCCACGTCCGTCCCCGGTGCTCCGGGAGCCGTGTCCCGGCACGCCCGAGTGACACAGAGCAGCTCCTGCTCACACACGTCGGGCCGGTCCCGCAGCCGGGACCTGTCCCAGCCCTGCGCTCCTGGGAATGTGCCAGCGGGGCTGGGACAGGGAACACTGCGGGGCTGGGACAGGGAACACTGAGGGACTGGGACAGGGAACACTGAGAGGCTTGGACAGGGAACACTGAGGGGCTGGGACAGGGAACACTGAGGGGCTGGGACAGGGAACACTGCAGGGCTGTTCCTCCCAGCCTGGGCGCTGGAGCAGGGGGTGCATACATGATTCCTGCTGGCAGGAAAGTAATTCTGGTTTGGCGGCTCCTTCTGAGCTCGTGGAGCAGAGACAAGAGAAGCGGCATCTGGAACACAAAAGCAGAATCACGGAATCCCAGAATCCCGGAGAGGTTTGCATTGTAAGGGACCTTAAAGCCCATCTGATTCCACCCTTCTGCCATGGGCAGGGACACCTTCCACTAGGATGTACTTGATCACTCCGGGGTCTCCAGGGGATGTGGTCCATCTTCTCCCAGTGTGTGTTCCCTTGGCATTGTGTGGAGGGGACCTGACTTCACCAGATCCTCCCATCCCATCAAAAATACCAAATTTTGAGTTTATTTTTATGGCAGGCATGTGGGACATGCAAAAGAATTCCCCTTGGGACATCCAAAGGGAAATGCTTTGGTGTCTTTAGAGGAACAGGAGGTTTCCTGGACCACAGAATTACTAAGGGATCAAGCACCGAGCTCTGGTGACCAGTGACAGGACCCGAGGGAACGGCTGGAGCTGTGCCAGGGGAGGGTCAGGTTGGATCTCAGGAAAAGGCTCTTCCCCCAGAGGGTGGTTGGCACTGAACAGGCTCCCCAGGGCAGTGGGCACGGCCCTAAGGCTGCCAGAGCTCCAGGAGGGTTTGGACAGGGACAAGGTGGGATTGTTGGGGTGTCCTGTGCAGGGCCAGGGGTTGGAAAACTAAAGCAAGAAGTGATTTCCTTGTGGGTCCCTTCCAACTCGGGGAATTCTGTGATTCTACAACGTCGATAGGAGTTTCCAAGGAAGCTTTTGCTCTTTCCAGCAGCGAGCAAAGAGGGAGGATGCCAAGGAAAACATGCCATCCATGGCCTCTCCTAATGAGAGGCAGCGCCAGGGGCATGTCCTGCTGACCCAGGGCTCAGGAGTGTCCCCGCTGTGCCAGAGTTCACGCTCTGACGATTAAAACAGCAGATAAAACTGCTAATTATTGAACTGGATTGGGATTTACAGCAAGCCCTGATCCCGCTGGATGCAGCTGGCTCAGCCTCCTCTAACCAACAAGGGATATTTATCTAAACAGAGGGCTGAGTACTTGCAGGGCTAAAATTACCATCAGGATGTGGATGTTAGTGGGTTTCTACTTGGCTCCGCTCCCTGTGGCCACTTCCCTGCTGGAGAGCACAAGTTCAGTCAATCAGGCAGCACGAGACCACGAGTGCTCCTCAAAATACTTGGGAAAGGTGATGTCAGGAGCTTTAAGGCCCTGCCCTTGCCCCATCTGGCAGGGATGGCCCTTCCCGCTCCCTCAGAGCAGCGTTTTGTGCTTTCAGGAAATGACTTTTTAGAGCTTTTGTTCTGACAGTGCGAGGCGTTGAGGGGAGGGTGTGACCGTGCTGAGGTCGTTCTACTTTCCTTTTTAGTAGCTGAGAGTTTCCTTTGGGGCTTTCTTCACCAACTGGGAAACATGGATCTCAAAGCACCCAGCCAGGGGAACACGGGATGGGGTTTGGGACCCTTGGCTGTCGGGGCTGTGGGAAGGGGGTGGCTGTGCCTGTGTGGGTGCCACGAGGCACAAACCCCAACGAGTAACCAAAGTTGGAAAGTTACTTTTCCATCACCTTCTCCACATTTTGCACCCTGACATAACGTTCCTCAGGTCTCTCCTCTTGAATCACAGCTTTTTGTGGTTTGTTGGAGCGTTGTCCCTCATCCTTCGGGATTGGGTGCAAACAGGGCTTGGCCAGCTTTGACTTTGCCCATTTCACAGCTTTCCAGAACTCCTTCTCTCCTTTTGCTAAACTGGGAGTGATGGGACCCGTGGAATACCTTCAGGTGTTCCAGTGCCAGCTGCTCCTGCGCTGGGGCCGTTGTGGGGCCGATCCCAGGGGACAGGCCCTTCCCATGACTCAGCGGCCACGTCCTGCCTGGCTCCTCTCCCTGCAGAGATCCTGCCTGCCTGTGCTTGATATCAGCAAAGAGAGGCTGCTCCAATCTCTGCTATCCCTTTGCCAGCTCAGACCTGCTCCTTTCCTGGTGCATGTCCTGCCCTGGGTGGGCCCGTGGCCGAGAGGAGACGTGTTTGCTCCAGGCTGTGATTGCACTTCTGCCACTGTGTGACCTGCTGGAAGAATCCAAAATTGATCTTCCCATCATCCATGTCTCAAATCCTGGCAAAGAGAAGTGGTGCAGCTGCACATCTTCACACAGGAAAGCCCAAGCTTAACTGAGAATGTGGGGATGTGGCAACATGTCATAGAATCCCAGGATGGGTCAGGTTGGAAGGGATCACAGTGGGTCATCTGGTCTAATCTCCACAGGATTTTGCCCAGGTGGTTCTGGAATATCTCCAGTAGGGGAGACTCCACACTCTCTCTGGGCAATCTGCTCCTGTGCATGGTCACCCACACAGGAGTGAAGTTTTTCCTCAGAAAAAGAAATGAGATTTACTCAGACAAATGCTTTTCCACCTGCACTGGGATTTGTTTCCAAGGATCCTCCCTGCCCTTCAGGAAAACTTCCTGTCCTTACTCTCTGTGCACCAGAGGAAGGTTTTACATGGCCTGGCACGTGTTTTTAAAGTAATTCTTTGTGCTCCTTAGGATGATAGAGCAAGAAGACATCTGAGAACTCAGCACTTTCAGGAGTTAAGATCTCAGATTAGTCACTAATAAACCCCGTGCACGTCAATTCCCGCAGCTCACGTTTACCAATCCCCCAGGGAACTGGGGAGAAGCTGGAGAGAGAGCACCACCTACTTTTGGAACATTTCAGTGTAGAGTCCTGTTGGTTTCCATGAAGGAGCAGGAAGGACGGGAAACAGGAAGCAGAATGGAAATGGCATAACTTTAGTGAAGTGAATAAAGGGTTCTCTGTGCAAGGAATCCCAGTGCTGTGTCCCTGCAGAGCCACTGCAGCTCCCCTTGGAGAGCCAGGAGATAACACAGCCCTTAAAATGGGAATTTTAAAGTGATGAGCCTTTAAACTGGGAATTTGTCCCAGCACAGGAAGTTTTGAAAGACAGGTCCTTGTTTTTGAGATAATGACTTAATTCACTGTGGGATGGGAATGTGCCACCACAGATGAAGTGTGATGGTCTGAGCAAGACAGATTCTTCACCTCAGTGCTCAGCCTGAAGAAAATTGATATAAATCTACCCCCTGTAACCACTAGGGAAAGAAATGCACCTTTGGGCAGTATATGCTTGATATAGCAAAGGATCTTATGGTGCTGATTGATTTTCAAGGTCAAATACCAAACAAAAGCACTTAAAACACCTGAAGATGTTCTGGGTTACCTGAAAAATGCAAGCTCTTAGTAGGGGTTCAGTTTCATACATCTGCTTAAGAATTAAAACCCTTCTTGGGGCCTTGGTAACCCCCAGCGAGTTACTGGGTAGCCTGAAGAAGTTAAATATTTTAAAAGTAAGTTAAATATTTTAAAAGCAAGTTGAATATTTTAAAGGTAAGCCCTGACTGACAGCGTGTCACTGGATGGAGTGCCTGTTGTAAGCTGTTGATTTACAGCCTGGAGAGTAAAAAGCAATTATGGTAATAAAGTGATTGGGGGGTTAAACCTGGGGAAAAAGATAACAAATATCTGTAGGACCTTGTGGTAACTCACCTGGGCCTGGCTGTTCCTTATCTTTCATTATCCCTAAGGAACTTGTGGGCAGGGTAGGTACCAGGGTTTGCATTTATTGTT